CCTCGAGAACTTGACCAGACCGCGAGGACCCATCAGGTAACGTTAGACTGACGATTTCGTTGTATCTGGGGAATTTGACCTGGAAGGACCACCTGTTAGCGACCAATTCGTCGGAGCTTCGAGCCGTTTCGTCAACGTACATTGTCTAGAATGACCAGAGGCCCATTGACACCACCGATTGTGTTGTACTTCAACCTGGGCTTGATGGAAGCCATCCGATGATCTATCTCGGCCATTCTGGCAGCCTGGCGGGGTGCAAGACGATAGCAGAGAAAGAGAGGGTGGGTGAATGTTCACAGACAGAAGCAACTCCCCTTTGCTTGAGGAAAGGAAGCTTCCTCAGCAGCCACCCACGGCCAATGGACGAATCGGAGAGGGACGATGGCGCAGGCGAGCCAACAGCTGCAACTAAGGACGACGGATCTCTATTCTCCAGAAGAACAGCGCAGGAGAGTTTCGCAGTCGAGGTTGGACACACCAAATCGGAGCTGCAGCTGCAGCTGGCGATGCGGTCACTGCGAAGCCGCCAATCGCGACCCAGAGCCAAGATTACAACGTAATGGGACAAGAGTAATGCCGCTTTATGGACGAGTCAGCTAGCCGGAATGGGAACCACCTAACCACGTCCCCTTTGTCGATGGGCTAAAATATCTAGCGCTTCTCTCTACTCAACACATCGACCTCTAGACCCCTTTGTACTTGCAAATGATATTGAATATCGTCGACTCAAGGAAACGTATTTCTGACATCGGCACTCAGACCATCCCACGCCATGGCTTGCACGATCCGAGACTTTGTAGACAGCCTGCTCGCAGTTCCCGGCTGACTCTTTGAACACGTGGCTTTGAGGTCTGTGTGGCCTCCTCCCTCTTGCTGTCGAGGTGTACTACTCTGCTTGCTGTCATCTTCGATGTCTTCTCCGCCATCCTTGTCCTCTGCCCAGAACCTCACTCCGAAACACGTCTTGCCTGGTGGATAGATCCTCGTCGTGATCACGCACCGGGAATTGACAAAGACTTCGAGCACGGACTCGTCAAAGAAGAGGTGGAGTTCCAAGTTCTCAATCTCCGACTCTAGGTGTCTCCCGGCTTCAACCTGGCCAACCTCGTCCCTTTGATCAGGGAGGAATGTGAATAAAGTGAATGGTGCGATCTCGGGGGCGGTGTTGATCTCCTCACCATCGATGGTGTTGGTGATGGGTCGATCAATTCGGACAGTCTCTTTGTGGGGGAGGAAAGAAATTGTCGTCGCCGTGTTCGAGCTTAGTAGCGGGGGTATTCCATCCTGTTGAGCTTCCTGTGAGCCAGGCTCATGGAATATGCTAAGCCCAATTCTCTCGCAAGCGTGGGATAGGGCAAAAGTTGAGATGAGTTCAAAACGGTGCGTCTGGATGTCTATGAATGTGTCGCCCGTTGAATTGAGGTGCTGTGAGCGACGCACAGGCCTAACCACTCTCGCGCTGTTGCGAAGGGAATCGAGACACCGAGCTGGAGATATGCTCAGCGTGCGAATCTTGAATTTATGTTGCTCCCCGTCTTTTGACTCTTCACGCTCAACCTGTACCGACGTAACATCTTGCAACCTGCTTCTCAGGGTACCCGTCACACCCTTTAGAGTGAGAAGTGTCACTTCTCTAGGCAGGGACGTCATCCCACTCCATCCCTGTTCATCGACCAATCGTTGTGGCAAGTCTTCCTCTGTGACCCAACCCCAAACAATTTGTTTATTGCTCAGGGGGTCACGCAAGGTTGTTGCAGCATAGAGAAGGCCGTGATCGAGACGGCCTCCGAATTGGTAGTCCATTTTCGGAAGCTTGGTTTGTATATTGGTGTCTGAGATTGTGTCGTCTGTACTTTGAAGAATTCCACACATCCACTGCAGAGACCTTGCTGTGCGGCACAGTTCCGTTGGTTGCTGATGACGATGTATGAAGCATGAGTCTTCATTGTGGGTAGCATTTGGCTGAGATCCTTCACAGCCCACGATGATGAAGTCCCTGCTCTCATCATCCTTTTCGTTCTGCAGGGTCATGAAGCAAGCGCATTCCCAGTTGATGCCTAAATCACCACTCCAGCGGGATAGAAAATGGTTCAATCCAACATCAAGCAGGGAACCGATGAACTTCCATTCTGCTAGGTCTGAAGGATTGACCCGGTAAAGAAATGCAGCTGGCGAGCAGTCTCTAATTCCTCCGGAAATCATTCCATATAACTGGCTCCTATCGTGGCCGAGGAGATTGGCCATGGAAGGCCAAATTGCAACGAATGGGTCACGCCATCCTGTCACATTGGAGGTTGACGGTGGCTCTAGTAGGACTGGGTTCTTCGTGAATTTATTCCATGTGAGACCACTGTCTAGTGAGTGAGCAGCAGCCAGTGTCTCTGTTTGTCGTATGCATGGAAGAGTATAGTGCAGAGGTAGTCGACTTATACCAGTGTAAAATATCGTCATTTTTCCAGCTCCAATCTCGCCGTCCCAATTGGTAGGAACCAAGCAGCCTGTAAAGCACCCTTTCGCGTCATACCACTCATCAACAGTAGCCCCAGGCTCGATGCTCGGGGTTTGGGAAACATTCCACTTCACCATATCCGTCGAGGTAGCATGGCCCCAACAGATCGAACCCCAAACGACCGAACCTGACTCATCTCGTCGAGGGTTCCACTGAAAGAACAGATGGTACATGCCTGTCGACGGATCATAGGCTGCGGCACAGGGGTCATTCATCCAGCCGTGACTTGCTTGAAGGTGATATTGAGGACGCCATCTGAAGAACGCTGGTGATGGTGAAGTAGGCTGGTCCATTGGTAAGGATGCCTGTAGCGATATGTTAAACAGAGGTTGATCAGATTTTCTCCTACTTTGTCCATCGGTTAGAAACCTGCTTCCACGAACGGAAATCAGTCCACTCGATCGGATCCGCCAGCCGAGCAGATGTGGATAGTGCTGAACTTGTCACTCAAAAAGACTGTCTTCGTTGTCCTTGTATGGCTAGAAAGGATTGTGTGGGGATTGGCATCGAAGTCAAGTTGTTGGCGCAAAAGTCGATGCTTCGTTTGGTCAGAAAAGGGCCGATTAGAGTCGGTGCTGTTGATTGGCTCCTCCAAAACCCCTGAATAAGAGCCAGTCTTGTCCGCACAAGTCTGATCCGAGTGCATCCCAGGGTTGTCATCAGTACTCTCGGGAGTTTCGTAGTAGCGTTTGTCCTCGGAGGCAAAGGCGAAGATGAATACGCGCGTGTTTCATTCCCCCACGGGTTCTGGCCTTGCACTGAACAGCAGCCTGAACTTGACCACATCCACAATCTCCAGCGCTTCTTCCCCCTCACTTCCTAGATCATTCTCATCGACTTTGCGGAGGACGGCCATGGGTTTTGCCAACTTCTTAACCTCGCCAGTCAATCTCTGATGCCTCCCGACATACAGATAGACTTTCTTCATCCACTTGCCCTCGTTGGCTTCTTGGGGGTTGTATAGGGGGAACTCAAGCCGTCCAATAGGGTGCACAGCAGGTGACTGTTCTGGATCTTCTGTCGCCAGATCCTGCGGAGGTCCATGGATTTTGCCTTGGATCTCCATAATCGCCAGTCCCGCTGGTGTGTGCAGAAGGGACGGTAGCGGATTAGGACTTGTGCCATTCGTCTCTTGGGAGAGAACAGTAGTACGGAGCTCAACTGCCGGCATAGTGTACTTGTGATGATCACTTTGGTAGATTTTGCCGTTGTGGGAAAGACACGTTGACAACCAAAGGAACAAAGAATGTATGATGAGGAGACGCGGAGGACGCGTTTTGCGTCTGTGCACCAGGTACGGAGGTGTAAAGGAGGGACAGATATATGCTTCACCGTATCTAGGAGGTCATCACGTGCAAGGCTGCCAACATCAAGCCTCCCCCCTTGGTTGGCTCACTACCTCCCTCACAAAGAACAGCATCCATATATTCCTGATACTGCTTGATCCTGCTTCCTAAGAGGAAGGTCAGCCGTCAAGACCAATATTGGGACTCTCTGGTTCCGAATCACCAAGATTGTCCACTCCTAACCCTTTCATGTCCACTCTGGCTCGCTTCCTTTGAATTCCGCTTCAGATATCACTTGCCTGTCACTACTTGTTCCCCAGACTTTGTGAGAAGTGCCGCGATTATAGATTCATCTCCTGCGCAATCTCGATGACTTGGAAATGATCGCATGCGAGATCATCACCAGTACGGGTGATATGGCTATCGCACGCCCTCACCTCTGTACCCGCACAAGTCATACCCGTCAACCTGCGTTTGCTCGCTCACGCACATGCTATCTCTTAGTGACACACCGACCGACGGGAATCCAGCCAGGTGAGTACTTTCTGCCCGAGGATCCGCCGGGGATCAAAGTGAATATGTTCGTTCGAGTTCTTCAGGGCGATGGCAAACCCTTTGGCAAACCGAAGTTGGGCCCTGCTTCACTCGGAGTTATTGTGACAATAGTCCAAGTCATCCTGATACAAGCAACGTACCAAGGTCAAGTGACTTGTCTTGCCACAGAACAGCTCCGGCAGCGCAAGCAGCATAAAAGATCATTTAAAGCGGAAGAATGCCCTTGTGAGCAGCGCGACCTATTTAGATATAAACAGCCGCTATTGTAGATATTATCCAACTCAGACCACGACGTCTACCAGGAACGACTTACCTTGCAATACCGTGGAACTCATCCTGACACAGATCTAAGGCAGTGCTGGTCCAGACCAGCGCTCCCAAACAGCAACCATCAGCCATCTCCCAGCGTCCGCCCCGTGGTTGACATAGCGACAAGGGGCTTCCTATCTGTGAATTTGTGAACTTCACTGGCCTTCTCTGCTTCCCAGGCAACCACACCATCCACCTGGTTTGCAACCCTAGCCCCTCGATACGTCGTCCCCTTTCTCCGAAATCGCGCGCTCTGGATCTGCGGAACATTCTTCGTTCCAACCATCTCCAACCCACACAATTTCTATTCTCCCCACCAATCACCTTTCATATCCTCCTCCATGGGTCCACAGAGAAGGGGAAAGCGAGTCTCGCTGGACCAAATATCATTATCCACCTTCGATGACAGAGCAAGCGTCGATAGCAAGGAGCTAGCCACCCAGAGGTTCTTCGGCAGACAGCAACAGGAGCTGGCAATCGTTCCATCACAAATCGTATCCCATACATCCTCTGTCACATGGAAAAGCCAAACCATCAAGGACAAGGAGGAATACGAGCGTGTCAAACAACGAGTCCGCCATTTTGCTCCGGAGCATTTCAAGGCCAACACGAAACAGGGTCCAGGGGCGTCGTCGATCTTTCCGCAAAACGTTGGCGAGTGGTTGACACACAAGAAGGAGATATTGGCATTAGCCGAGCGAGAGCAGCAGAAGAATTGCGAAATGCTCAAGGCGCAGATTGAAGCTCGTCAAAAAATCCCCAAGTCTCAGCGCAAGATCCACTCCGTCTTTGGCGAGGATGGCAAGATCTTCAACGATGGACTCAGCCCAGTATTGGGTTTGCCCACCATCTGGTCAGCTGAGTATCCCGGACGGGTCGCCAAGTGGCCGAGCAATGGCGAAATGCAATGGAATGGCGACAATAGGCAGAGCCTCCTGGCAAAGACAAAGTGCGGCCGCTTTCTTCCTCCCCCTCGTGTTCCCGTTAGTCCATCGACCTCGTTCCAAGAACAGCCCTTCTCGCGGCAGCTGCCACTTGATGAAGCTGGCCCTATCTTCTCCATGGGCCCTCGACCCGACGAGATTTACGTCAACAACGCTGACATGGACGGAGATGCGCAGTTTGAGGCACTCGGAAACTTCTTTCTGGGAACAGAGTTGATGGAGCAAATCGGACAGTGGCGGGCACCGCTTGTGCCAGAATGGCTGCAACAACAGCAGATGATGATGGAGGAGGGGGGAATGGTCATCCATGAAGGAGATGGGTTCATAGGAACACCAGTGATTGGCAGTGAGATGTGGTACGACGAGAGCATGGAGCCAGACATATGGCAGGAATACCCCTTGTGGTGATGAACAACATTGTGACTGACTGAGCCCCGGGATGGGAGCTATTTCAAAGAAGTGGTGGTTGTGATTGTGGTGAGGAACAGCTTTGCAGAATGCGGTCTTTTTCTCCTGTTCTTGATTTTTTTCCTTCGACGGGCGGATCAGGGTCTTTGTTTGAGGATTTCACGCACGAGGGCACTGGAAATTCTCAGTGACGACTATCACGACGACACGATTTCACAGGTTTGGGTATCCTCTTCTTTTTTTAATTTGCGTTGCAAGCGGTGGGGGTTGGAAGCAGGAGACGGGTGCTGCAAGTGCCATGATTGTACCTGCGATCTCCAGCTCTTTCACAGCACGCAGCATCATCATGGTGGATTGGACATCGGCACGTGGGAAGGATTGTGTGACAAGACAGCAGGCTGCGTCCAGGATCCAGGCTGAGATATAGCAAGCGGCCTTGAAATCAAAATACCATCAAATCAGAAATAATGTACAGTACTTGTACCAGGGAACAAATAATAGCAGTGATTATTATGCAGCGCAGGCGTCTCGGCCCTCGGTGTCAGTGCGTCAGTGTGTAAGAGGTACGTACTGTGGAGGGCAACTGACGCGACCATTCAGACTCATGTCGGTTTTGACTCGTGCGGCTTGTGTCGCCTAAGGCGTCCCTGGGGTAGCCTGGGCAGGTAGGATTTGCCAACACCCGCCCCCAGACCCGCTGCTGCAAAGATGACCAGTGATTTTGGTTTAGCTCCCTCTATCACTTCCAAGGTTGTGCCTGTGGGGCTCGTGCCGAAGACTACGGACACTTGGGCTTCCCAACACCCAAGGTCTCTCTGCTCTCGACCTCGGCAGGTTTACGGATAATGCGGCCCTCACAGAGCTCGACTCCGACTCACGCGCAAGATCACCCTAGTTGTATGAAACGATATATCATGGACTCTTCACTTGACCATGTCACTTTGCCAGTTCGATTTCCTGTAGCAGCACCTCCAACAGAATGGGCCGTAAGTCTATCCTCTCTGTCATCCTGTCTTTCTTGCGACTGACCATGACCTCCAGTTCCCACCGTAGCAGCTGCCGTTGCGGGTGGCCTCGCTGCCGCCGCCTACCTCGACGCCAAATTCCTCATCCGCCATGACCTCAGTTCAGGCTCTTTGGCACACAACCAGAAGGAAGCTTTGGCCTTTATGACCGAGAGGTACCAGCAGAATCGGATGCTCATATACCACATCTTCGAAGAGCATGCCACCGGCAAGAACGCAGACAACACATTTCTCATGTTCGAGAACCGATCATGGACCTACAAGCAATTCTTCAATGATGTGCACAAAGTTGCCAACTGGCTGTCAAAAGATTTGGGTGTCAAACCTCAAGAAATTGTTGCCTTGGACGGTGGGAACAGTCCGGAATATCTGATGCTGTGGTTTGCTTTGGAAGGGCTTCGTGCCTGTCCCGCCTTCATCAATTGCAATCTGACCTCTGGCCCCCTTACACACTGTGTTAAGCTGTGCGACGCCCGGATTCTGATCGCCGACCGGGCAACACAAGATCTAGTACAGCCATGTGCAAGTGATCTACAAGCCTCGGGCGTACAAATAGTCTATTACGACGAGCCCTTTATCTCTTCCCTCACCGACACCACTCCGATACCCAAATCCCTTCACCAAGGAATTGCACCTACCGATCTAGGCGGTCTCATCTACACCTCGGGCACAACGGGTATGCCTAAAGGCGTGGTTATGCTCCGCGGCCGCGAACTCAACACCGCTCGCAGCATCGCTAAGTATCTTAGACTCAAACCCCACAACCGCATGTATACCTGCCTGCCACTCTATCACGGCGCCGCACACGGTCTGTGCCTTACACCCTGTATCTTTGCCGGATCCTCCGTTGTTCTCAGCCGCAAATTCTCACACAAGACATTCTGGCCCGAAGTCCGTGCCTCCAATGCTGATATTCTTCAGTATGTGGGTGAACTCTGCCGGTACCTCATCAACGCACCGCCTAGTCCGCTGGACAAACAACACAATGTGAAAAAGGCATGGGGCAATGGTATGCGTCCAGACGTGTGGGAAACCTTCCGGCAACGCTTCGGGATCGACACCATCAACGAGCTCTACGCAGCCACGGATGGCTTGGGCGCCTCCTTTAATGCGAACAGGGGCGAATTTGGCAGAAACGCAATTGCTATACGTGGATTATACTGGCACTTCGCCAATGGCGCTAATGAAAAGAGGATCAAGATCGACATCGACACCGAGGAGATCGTGCGTGACAAGAACGGTTTCGCGATCGTCTGTAAGGACGGAGAGCCTGGTGAAGTCGTGCACAAGATGGATCCAGCCACTGCGTCTACAGTGTTTGCAGGATACTACAAGAACAAGTCCGCAACTGACAAACGAATGATCCGAGATTTATTCAAAAAAGGAGATCTCTGGTTCCGCAGTGGTGACATGATGCGCCAAGACCCCGACGGGTGCGTATATTTCGTCGACCGCCTAGGTGACACCTTCCGCTGGCGCAGCGAAAACGTGTCGACCAACGAAGTCTCGGACGTGCTGGGCAAGTTCCCCCAAATAGCCGAAGCAAATGTGTACGGCGTGCAGGTACCCCACGCCGATGGCCGCGCAGGGTGCGCCGCGATCGTGCCCATCTCGTCAATCACCTCGCCCGACCAGCTGGACCTGGCAGGCCTGGCGCAACACCTGCTCTCGACGCTGCCGCGGTACGCCGTGCCAATCTTTTTGCGGGCGGTGCCGCAGCTGGAGTATACGGGGACGATGAAGCTGCAGAAGGGCCGGCTGCGCGCCGAGGGCGTGGATCTGGACAAGATCGAGGCCTCTCGGCCTGAAGATCGCATGTTTTGGCTCCCTCCCGGCGGCAACAAGTACGAGCCCTATGGCCGAAAAGAGTGGGAAGATCTGAAAGCCGGTAAGGTCAAGCTGTAGATGCTATGCTTTGCGAGTATGTACCCCATACAAGCTACATAGATTCGGGGTGACTAGATGATGATGGTCCGGTCTTGGGGCTGGGGTACTCATATAGGCTCCGCGTAACAACCCAAAACAGGAATTAATCACTACATATATAGTGCAACCAACCCTAGCCATTCCCTCGTCGCCCTCGAAAAGGGGTCAATGGTAGGGATGCATACAATATGTCCCAAAAGACTGCTGACATACTCAGTACTCGGTACAGGAGCTCAGAGGTGCACAGAAGAGGATCAACAAAGCCTCGGTTAGATCCCCACGGCACGTCGACGCTGAGGCGAGGCTCGGCTAGGCTACGCGAGGCGAGCACGGGGGAGACAAGTCAGACGGCGCGAGGCTGCGCTAAGCCAGACTAGGATTTGTAAGGTGGATAGAGATTCGAGAAAGAGAGTTATAGTAGACGACGACTATATGACTCATATATGGACATGAAGACGGACACTGTCTACCTAATACCGAGTATGTATGTATGTTGACAGCGTACCTCGTCCAGACACAATAAAATCAAATCAGTGGCATGGTCCACATGGTCCACAGTCCCGTCCCAATTATCGAGTCGAGAGACTATGCCTCATACTTTCTTCGCTTGTCGACAACTTGTCCTTTTTCATTGCAGGACTCGGCCTGAGAGTCTCCTTTCGAGACACATATACCTACACACAGTAGGTACGCACGTACGTACGTACATAAATACATACATATATCTACCACTGCGGGGTGCTACAGTACTTTCAACACCCGTCCATATCGATACTGGATATTTTTGGTGTCAAACATCAAAATCACCCCGATTCCTCGTATCCCTTTTTGTGCAAAGCATTCCAAAAACAAAGGGGGGGCGCAGGCCATAAATCCCTTTCGTGATTCCATACAAGTCCGTGAAACATATGTAGGTCCGCATCAACAGGACAGGCACCTTCTGAGAAGAGGCCAAGCAGACTCGTCTGCGAGATCTCTTTTAGAGATGCTCCTGGACACCAGACAAGCCATCATTCGTGGAACAGAATCTCCAAGACGAACCACTCTTTAGCCCGCCTATCACAAACACCAGAAGCCCTTCGGAGAGATCCGATTGTTGCACCGCCAAAACAGTTGCAGCACACCATATATCGCCCGCGCTATGCTTCGTTCCATCATTCATGACTTGGGTATATGAAGCAGCAAAAGCTGTACATAAGGATCAGAACACATCAGTCGATTACACTGGATGAGCAGTGGCCAAGGGAGGAGCTGAGCACTGGATGCGACGTCGCACAATGCATCAAAGATTTTCGAGGGAGCTCGTGAGATGTAAACCATCGACAACCATGAGGACGGCCTCATTCCAACGCTTTTTTCAAGTCGTTCCACTTTTGCTTGAGGCCTTCATGTTCTGCATTGAGCTGTTGCACAATGTTAGACGTCCATACCCACAGATTCAGAAAAATATCACAAGGAAAAGGGGTTGCTCACCTCGGCATACTTCATCTTGATCTCTACGAGCTCCCGCTCCATTTCGGCCATTTGCTCCTCCATGTGGCGATTCTCATTCTGCACCTCGATATTGCGCTGCATAACTTGTTCCGTTCCCGCCCTGAGCCTCTCTTCAACATTTGCGGCCTCACTCTCTGCAACCTTTTTCAGCTCGGCCACCTGTCCAGTCAAGCTCTCGTTGCGATCTTGCAACTCGGTATTCTCAACTTTCAGCCGCACGAGCTCATTTGCGATCTCAATGTGCTCTGCGTCGGATTTCTCGGCTCTTTGCTCGAGGGAGCGGATCTGTGCAGCTTTTGTGGCGCAGTCGGTCCTCAGATTTTCCAACTCGGTCTCGCGTGCTTTCTCAGCCTTTGTAGTGGTCTCCCATTCTTCCCGGTATCGATTGAGCATCTCAGGGGTAAGTTTAACTGCACATGCATCTTGGACAAGGAGATCTGCTCTGTACACTTCCGTGTCGGAGCCACCAGAGCTGCCGAAAAATCCTGACTCCAGGATTGATTTAGACGAAGGCGCAGCATCGATGTAAACATCGAAGATCTTTTCTTTGAGAAA